GTTCATCACGGTGGTCTGCTCGCAAGCAAGAAATATGCTAGTGAACCAGTTACCCTTTCCCCGACATTAACATATAAAGAAAAAGGCGTTTGATATCTTACCTTTAAAGCAATAATGTCGCTTTCTGAATACCGCATGCACTTTATGAGCACTGGAACGAGTTTCTCCAGAAAAGGTGACAGCAACTCTTTGCAGACATCCGAGTTCTCAGCTAACGATAACCAGAACTCGCAAGCTTCAACTGCGATATTCTCGTTAGGATCCTGAAAAAAGACTATCGAGCCATACTCCAGCAAAACAACAAGAAAGTCCTTCACTCTACTCTGCTGATATAGCTGTATTCCTACTCTGAGGATTCCTACAGAGCTATAAACACGCCGAGTCCATCTGATGTTAAGGCGCCTTTTTTGGGCATGGTAGTCCTGCCCACAAGCATGGACGCACATTACAACTGCAGCTTAAAAATACGCAAGAAAACGCGACCCGCTAGCGACGGCAACCCGCCCTTTGACCACGTAGACGCCCAACTTTCATTCTGAATTACTACGTAAATGGAGCGATTGTTGCGCTTCTAACTCTATCCATTTCGAATGGTGAGAGTGTAGCGATGAAGGAGAAAGAGCTGACACCAAGTGAAAACTCGTCCGACCACGCCCTCTCTTGCAAAAACAAGCGCGGCTCAGCATGGGGTTCTATATGGGCATTTCGGACGGGTTTTTGGTGCTTTTTCTTCGTTTTTTTTTGTGTATAGCATCTTGTAATCAATATTTGAGTCGCCCAAACCAGCATTTTTGAATGCGTGGTGTATCTTCAAAAGGATTCAGTTATTTATTTATATGATGCACTCTTTGGTGCGCTATACAAATCTTTGGTACTAAAAAGCGCATATAGCTAAAACAACAGGTTATCTGGCGCATTGCACTTAACATTCAATGGACTAAGTCTTCGAAACTCTGTAGGTACCCTTGAAAATCAGCGCCGAAATGATGGCTTACGTACCTGAGTTTTCATTATAATGTAATCAATAACATTCGGCAGATGAGGAGCCAACTTCTCGAAGTGGCTATCCAGCAGAAGAGTCAGCGATCGACAAAGCTGCTTTTGCACTTCCTGAAAAAGCGACTGACGTACAGTCAGGCATAAATCATCATCGAGAGCTTTTCAGAGAAACAGAGCATACCGGATCATGGTCATGTGCCCTTCCAAACAGCTGTTGTAAGAAGTCATCAATCACTGCACTAATTGGATCGTTGTTAATCATCAAAATACTGTTCACCGAATTCATTGCTAACCCCCTGAAATAAAGTACATAAAAATATTGATACTTAAAGCGCTACGGAATGGCTTAACACCGAAACCTATTTGGAGAGTGAGTTCGCACGCGAAAATAAGTCCTTACCTCATTTTAGGGCTTTCTGAGCTGAAAAACGACAAAATCTTCGGCATCAGCGGATGAACGTGCTGTTCAGTATCCAGACGATCGCCTGAGTCTTCGAATATCTTTTGGATCGCTCCCATCGAACCCTCAAACGAAACGATGACCAATTTATAGACGAAAATACTTTTCCTTTTCTCGAAGATGTAACTTATTCTTCAAAGCGAGAAGCTGGGGGAAAGTTCACTCCACTCAAACAAGCTGTTCTATTGCCTCACAAGACATCCAAAAAGCACTGCTCTCAATGAACAAAAAACGTTACTTCAACGGCAGTATAGTCCTGGTCTTCACGCAACATTTCTAACTGAATAATTCATTTAACTACACTAAACTTCTACGAACTTTAATTTTTTTGCATAATTTTGTCGAAAACTTTCGAAAATTTTCTTTCCCTATGTCCCGAAAGCAGCAGAACTTGTTCGTCAAGGACACCGCTGTTCGACATACGGTTGAGAGGGGGCATACGACACTCTCGCTAGTTCCTCTTGCTAGTTAAACCGGTCTCATTTTGGTGGGATCCCTAATTATCACAGCTGCGAAGAGATGCAAGGGAGCCACTTGGGTGACAGGAACCTTCGGGTCTTCACAAGATGGCCTGTACAAGCTTCAAAGCGTATCGTTTGGTGCCCCCTCCAAGCTGAACAGCGCCGATAAACAAGAGCAGGATCTCATCTTCCCGCCATTATTGCCGAAATGAACTCGCCTCTTGCATGTTGGGATCTGGTTGATCGAGAAGATGGCCCAAATATGGCAATAAAGTTGGCCAGTGACCAACACCATTCTCTTCGACGACTATCGTAGTTACTGAAATAAAAGGTTCGCAGTTCTGGCAGGTTCAAAAAAATTGCAAGGAAAATTAGGTAGACCCACCTATTATACCTACTGTAGCTCGAATTAATGGACTTGGATCAGCTATACTAGCTAATGTATTGGTCTTTACAAATTCTCGCACTTCATCTGGATATTTCGCCCACTGCGAACGAACATTGTTCTTCAATATTAATCCAGCAAGAGATCGGCTAGCCTCCTGAATCGAATCTCGGCCTACTTTTACTGAGTCGGAAAGCTGTTGAGTTGGAGGTGCGACACATCGCCACATGGTTGAATTTTGAAATAGTTAATTTTCGGCAACATCTACCCTTTACTGCTCGCCCATATTCAGGACTGTCTAGATCGAAAGTGATTCCAAATTTTTATCAACATTACGCCTCGGAGAGGGGGGGGGGGGTGGGTGGGAATCAGACCACAACTTTTCCACGGAGACCATTAAAACTCCAGCACGATGACAAAACTGAAGCCGAATCAACTGTTGAGGGGAATTTTCGATCAAAATCAGGTCTTTTGAAGCAAAGGGAGTCAGAGGGTGAACCATTCTGAACTTCCTAGCGACTCACTTGCTCCTCTTTCATACCACTAAGAATGTGTACAAGATAGCAACAAAATGATTGATGGCCATTTAGCATGTCGAGCTGTTGTTGTACATTTCGCTGTACGACTGTATCTGTCGATTGCGAGTGGTGCAACAAATGTAGAACCTGAAAGTTTACGAAATACAGCTTTCAAGAAGCATCACACTAGGTATTAGGTTGGCGGGAAAGTTTGTCAAGCTTTAATTTGTTTTTTTTTTTTTTTTGAACTCAAATTAACTTGGCTCATGTAGCAAAGAAGGGTAAGTATGTAAGCTCTTGTAACAACAAGATGGTCTCCTCTGCTTAAGCACCATTCGCTGGTTCCGTCTTGCTTCCTTAGTCTGGCAATATGCAAGAGAGAGGATTTTATCCGCTACCATCAGCCCCGACCCATCCAACAACTTCCACAAACTATTTCACCTACCACCCTGACGCCAGCGTGTTAGCTGCAGATGCCAAATTGATGGAGCTGAATGAGCACATCGATGGGCCCCAACCATTCGAGAGCCTTACGCACTACAGTGGACTCTTCAAGGCGGGAGCCTAGGGAGCCTACAGTTTTGATGACGAAGTGAGGTTTGGGCTTACCTGCAAACTCAGCTTGAGGGAGCTATGGGTCGAGAAACTGGCTGGATGATAGAAGGCACTGCTTGCCTGGGCAAGGCGTAGCGAAGCAGCTACGAGATCTCACGCACGTAACCCGTGGTCAAGAGACACGCGGGAATTTGTCACCCGCACAGCCGAGAAGAGCACCATCAACACCACAGCCACACACTCCACACACACGCACACGGGCCGAACGGAGATGCACACGACAAGCCCCACCCACCTTTCGGCAACACACACATAACACAGGTCGAGGCCGTAACCTCGGTCCATCTCCGCCAATGGACGGTTTGAATGGCGCCCTCTACCGCGGGCAGCCAACACACACGCCCCACTCACAAGGCTATCTCCACACACACCACGTGCCCTTTCCCAACACACGTCACTCACCACCCTGCACTCTCGGATACACCTTACACACACACCACCAGACCTCCGCCCACTCACACCACTAACCTGAATAGCAAGAGTTGCCTTCCCCCGTAATCGATCGTTATGCGGAGCGCAACGGACCTCCCATACACCTCTATCAACGCTCATACAAGTCGAGAGTTGAGATACACACAGACACATACGACTCCACACACACCCTCCTTGCGATCGTGTCCCCCCTGCATAACAATGAGCGACGACACACTCCAAGTGAACCAATACAAGACCCACACACAAACCACAAGGCACAAGACCCCACACGACCGGCATTCACACACTACTCACACACACACACATTTTGATCCTTCACTCAACACACGCTCTCATACCGAAAAAAAACGAAGCCTATGCTCGAAAAAACAATGTGACAGAACGCTTCCACCAGCAACCATCACACCCCACTACACCCAACGCCAATTTACCTTAACACTACACACACTAGAAATCACCACCACACCAGTATAGTTGTTAGACACTATCGGGAGCCGATCCCCCCAGAATAATAATAGTTGGGTAGTGTTTCAGCGACGCTGATATTCACGGAGAACGGAAAAAAAAAAAAAAAAAAAAAAAAAAAAAAAAAAAAAAAAAAAAAAAAAAAAAAAAAAAAAAAAAAAAAAAAAAAAAAAAAAAAAAAAAAAAAAAAAAAAAAAAAAAAAAAAAAAAAAAAAAAAAAAAAAAAAAAAAAAAGAGAGAGAGGCGGGCGCGGCCGTTATCACTACAATCAGGACTCCCAGTTAAAATAAGCATTAACGTGTGAAAGGTAGTGGGATTGTAAGCGCAGGAGATAGGCGAATCGCCAAGCCTAGGAGGGTGCTATCAAGCGCGAAATCGCCGAAACCAAGGAGGGATGAGCACCGGAATGATGGCTGACGGAATTGGTGAGGAAGTGTGTCTTTTCTGACGTGAAAAAGCAGCATCTTGCAAGGCACTCCATCGCTCCTTACCTTTCGGCAATTTTGTTTATTTCCAGGAAACTGCGGCGCCTTGTAAAAAATAATGGATTTAATTGAAAGTGCTCAACTCCGATTTTGATCATCGTCTGCCGTCAGATGTTCATAATTTTTACCGGAATACCGATATGGCAATCATATTGCTCCTCGTAAAGTGGGCGAATAAAAAATACACAACCGTTATCAGTTGTATTAACGGGCTGTCACGGGCTAGTGACGTGTCACGGCCCGAAAGGAGTGTGCACAGACTGTGCACCAAAACCGAACTATGGCAAAATGAATCCATTCGACCCAAGAGTTCAGGGAATTTTGAGCGATTGTGAAAGGTATTCATCCAATCCTGGAGCCCAACTTTGTCGTTAGCCGCCGATAGGCCAGGCTGTGGTTTTCACAGACTCTAAGGGCAGAGGTCAGTGTCCGGAGTAATTGCCCACTTTACTCATTTACCCCGTCATTCCATGCAAAAAAAATCGGTAACCTCCATAAGGGCAAAATCTTTTATTGGCCAGTCCTGTATACTTCACACCCCTGAGATGCCGTATGCGTGCCCACGTAACTGATTTGAACGTGTCGACGGTAGCATCTTTTGGTACTTCTACAAACAACTAAACCATTTTCAACGAAGTACACGCCACACACAGTACTCAGGGATATGGGCGTTGACCGTACACTCTATTCGCTCGAGGACGGTTGGGGCGTGTCAGGCAGCATGAGCGTGCACGCTCCATCTGAACGCGTTCCTCCTGCCTTTTTGATCGTAGTGCGCGATGCGAAAAGAAGGGTAGCAAACAGCAATATTCGACATGATACATTCATATCAAATTGCTCGCGTTTGACAACAGGTGGAAAACCCGCTCTGGGCGGCGCCCAAAATCATCCTGCCTGACACGCCCAAACTCCGCACGCACTACCTGTACAGATTAGGACATGCACCAATGAAGCTACAGCTTTCGCAAATCGCCTCACTACATATACCGTTCATCTATCTCCCTTGTTGGCGAAGTTAAAACGTCTACACCATGGAAGACACGTAGTTTCATGCTACACAATACAATTAATCTTCATCACATATCAGAAGGATGAGCTTCGCACCATACACTACCTGTGTCAGTTCTTCCTGATTCGGTTGCCATGATGTCATGACTCACTATTCATATGGTGGACGATTATGTCCTGAAATAACAATACTACAAAGAGTAAACCAAAACTAAGGTGATGATGCGAAGCAACCGAATGTGACGAGTATGAACCGGTACCCCCACCACAGCACACGGACACCCTGCTCACTCAAAGCATCACAAACAATCCACAGATACATTGAGACGGCGTATTGCACCACATCAGATCAAAACACACTACACTTCTAATTATTGATTCATAGCTCGAATTTATGTAACAACGACGACAACAACAAACAATAACGAACAACAATGTAAACGAACATCAATGATTTAAATAAAAATATCGGCGCAGTTTGGCAACCTGGACTGGGGGGGGGGCATTTTGCACGTTCGCTGCTTCACTAGTTCCAGTTTACAAGACTCACTCTGGTGAAACCTGTGAACTCTTGTGAACCCGGGGCAAGCTCGACGAACCAACACGGTAAGTATTGACATTTGTATGGTATTTCATGGCTTCACAAGAGCTGGCAGGTACTTTAAAAGAGTTGGCAGGTATTCTTCACAAGGGTTGACAAGTAGTTATTACAATTTGATATAGTTCACAAGATTGCACAGGTCCCCACTTGTCGATGGGAAGTAGCAAAAAAGCAAAATGCCGTCACCCCCCCCCCCCCCTCTCCTCCGTTCGCCGAACTGCATCAAAATATCGAACAAATACAATAGCTCAGTACGTTAGTAACATATTTTCTCACTATTCACACCGGTACCGAGGTAAATGTAACAAACGTATAAGAGCGCACATACCAACTAACAATTACGGCACAAAAGCCATAAACGTTGATTGGAAACAGTGTTCCAACCAAGGAACGAGTTTGTGAGCAATGCAGCCTGAAACCAGTCTACATACTACGTAACAAACCCAAAATGTAATATACTACTTGTCAGAGTTGGCTTTTAAGTTGAAAACAACCAAACTACACCTAAGACAAATATCTAACTGTTCTCTTCAACTTGGTGAGCACGTTTCTTAACACCATAAATTTCCTTCATCTTCATGTATTTCTTCCGATCGGATTCCGTAACGGAGGGTCGAATATTTTGGACAGCTTTGAGGAAGTGTTCCATAGCCACGGCATCGACTCCGAGATCGTTTCCAAAGAGCCGAGCTTTCAACGCGATAATCGACGCTTCGTGAACAAGTGCAGCCAAATCCGCTCCTCTGAAACCATCAGAATAACATTGAAAACTTATGTCTCACAAGTGATTACTCCCAGCTCAAGGACTATCGCTCAAAAACTCTGTCTGTCTGTCTGTGCGTCTGTCTGTCTGTTTCGTCTGTTTGCCTGTCTGTCTGTCTCTCTCTCTCTCTCTCTCTCTTCTACAACACAAAAAACTCACGTGAAACCATCCAGTTCAGGTAGTTGAGATAGTTTGTCGAAGTCCACGTCACGACTTAATTTCGGATGCGTCCCGTTCTAAAAACAATACTTTCCGTTCTAAAACAATATGCTTTCAAGCGTTTCAGGGCTCGCGAAAAAGTTGACTCACCGAAACAGGGCAGCTCTAAATAAAAATTTTTTAACGAGTGCCAGTTCAAATTAAAGAAGAAACAATCAGTCTATCAATATGCCGGAGGGTTCATGAGAGTCAATATTCAAGTGTACTTGAAGAGTAATTTCTCTCCCTAGTCGAGCGCTATCGCAGGTCCGCTGTTCTTGTTAGGCATCGCCACCTGTTGCGATAAAGTGCATCCTTTGCAGTCTTGACTTCTAATCAACTTTTTTTTTTCAACGGTATTATTCTCCAGGCATCCGGGTCCTTGCAACCTAGGCCTGACGCTGGTACCGTCACCACCTTCGTGAATTTCGCAAGGCAATTTTTTTTTCGCAAGGCAATTACAGGATCACATTCATTTTTTTGCCTTTTTCAATGCGTAGACTAG